AACTTGGAATAATAATTAACTTGAATAATTGAAAATAATATTTAAAGTTGAAGAAATTAAAAGATGATTAATGGATAAACATTAAAGATGATGACGAACTTAAAAAGATATTGGAATAAATTAAATGAAAGGTCTGATTCCCTTTCTAAAATAATTGAATCAGTGGTGCCTTCTAAAATAATGAAACAACAGTCTTACCTTCGGGAAAGGACTATAAACTCCTTAAAAGAACCGTAAGTCACTGCATTAGGTGGTTCTTGAGAAAACCAAGGACCACCGGTGACAACGTCTAAATAGTATATTATCGTAAACGATATAATGATTTGCCTGTTTCCTCAGTTGTCGTTGTTGTTCGCTTGTCCATACTTGTGGTAAATTGTGTTCAATTAGATATTCAATAATTAGGTTATAAGTTTCCGTATCCATTGTCGAATTTCGCAGGTTTTCGATATATCCGAGGCCTCTCCTTCTTCTGTCTTGTTGTGTTTGTTTTTTTTTTTTTATAGTTGAATTCGGGAAAGGGCATCCGCATTAGCGTTGAGCCTTCCCGGCTTATGAATTATATTATAATCATACTCGGACAGTTCGAAAATCTATCGGGCAATTCTTCCTTTGGGGTGCGGGCGGTTCTTTAACCAAGTAAGTGCGGCGTTATCAGTATACAAATCGAACTTGGGTCTGTGCAAGTAATGTTTAAAATATTGTACGGCCCAAATGGCGACAAGGCACTCTTTCTTCACAACAGTATAGTTTTGTTCGGCGGTGGCTAGAAGACGGCTGGCATAAGCAACAGGATGTTCTTGATTCGAATCGTCCTTCTGAGAGAGCACAGCTTCAATTCCCCAGTTGGACGCGTCTGTGCAAGCATGAATCATTTCGAAAAGTCAGGATAAATCATTACTGGCGCTGAAATGAGATAATTCTTTAGCGAATCGAAAGCAGATTGGTGTTCGTTCTTCCAATCAAACATGGCATCTTTCTTTGTAAGATTATGTAACGATTTTGCGATGGTGAAAAAATCTCGTACGTATTTTCTGTAATAGGATGCTAGTCCCAAAAAAGCGCGAATGTCGGTCTTATTCTTAGGAGTAGGATATCGTTAAACTTTCTCTATCTTCGCTGGATCGAGAGCTATTCCTTCAATCGTTACCACGTGTCCCAAAAATGCCAATCTTGTCCAGAAGAAATCACACTTCTCTAAATTTATTTTTAGTCCTGCTTTTCCTAAAAGAGCGAAAGCAGTTCTCAAGTGATTTTCATGTTCTTCACAGTTTTTTAAGTAGATGATAATATCATCTACATATACTAGCACGAATTTCCATACTACTTCATGAAACACTCAGTCCATTACTCGCTGAAACGTCGCAGGTGCATTAATAAGCCCAAACGGCATTACCACAAATTCGTACGTACCGAAAGGGGTGGTAAAGGCGGTCTTCTCACGATCCTTATGTGACACTTCCACTTGCCAGAACTCAGATGCTAAGTTGAGCGTCGAAAAGAAAGCGGAATGTCCCAAGGCGTCCAACATATCAGCTATCTTTGGAACAGGATAGGCGTCAGGCTTGGTCACGGCGTTAAGCTTCCTGTAGTCAACACATAATCTAAACTTTCCATTTTTCTTGTTGACTACTACAGTAGGTGCTGACTATGGGCTGGATGATCTCTGTACCAACCTGTTTTCGATCATACGCGTGATTTCCTCCTTCAAAAATTCCAAGTGTCGAGGTGAAGTTCTATATGAGTGTAACTTAATAGGCCTCGCTTCTCCAGTATCTATTGTATGTACGCAGACATTAGTTCTTCCTAGTTGCGAAAGATCGCTAGCCACCAGTCCTGAAAATTCTACAATAATTTTGTCCACTAGTGGCTTGTATTCATTTTCCGCAAGTATTTCTGTTTCCCCTTGGACCAGGTTCTCGCGTATATCATAGATTTCGTCCCGCGGCACCATCGAAACGGCTTCCCAACTTTGTAATCGCTCTCCGCATTCTTTACACTTATCTTCCTTAGTTTTGAGATATTTATCGCACCAGCAATAAGTATTCAGTCCCGCGGCCTTTCGCTGTTCTTGCTTATGTCTCTTCCTTCTGATAACATCGAGACAGTATGTAAGATAGTCATAGATCTCCCATGTTATGTATTCCAAATTCGTTCGTATTCCTTCAAGAGTTACATTAACTTCTTGTCGCGGTAAGTTATAGGTTAAACCTACAAAGTTTGCTTTCTCTTCATCTTCCTCCGTATCCATTTCTCCACTACTTTCCACGTATATGTGTTGCCCAAATCCCAAATCATTTGGGATTTGGGACGCCAAAATTCCAAATTACTAGTATTTGGGATTTGGGATTTGGGATTTCGGCAAAAAATACTAATCATAATTTGGGATTTGGGATTTGGGATTTCGGCATTTGAGATTTCGGCATTTGGATTTTGAATTTGGGTGGCAGGTATATTTCCACGTAATCTTCACTTCCACTATCGGTATCGTCATCATTTTCCAATATTATTGTATTCGTATTTCTACAAGGAATTTCTACGGTGTTTTCGTCATTCTTCAATGTTAACTTACATTCCTGATAGTTAATAATCGTATTCGCTTTTCTTAGCCAGTTGGTACCAAGGACTAAAGCGTATCCGGTTGCGCTTATGACTTCCATATCCGTTGCCACGGTTACGCTTCCTAGCTTAACTTGTACTTGAGTTACGACTCCCATACTGGAGCGTCTTTCGCCATGGATGCTGATTATCTTCTTATCAGAAGACTTATTAATCTTCCTTCCTAATGACTTCATAAAGTTCTCTGAAATAATGCTAATAGAAGAGCCGCTATCAAGTATAATATCGACCTTCCAACCTGCTACTTGAGCCTTACATATCATTGGGGTGTTCCCTTCCACTTTGGTGTGATTAGCCGTTTTCGTAACCTTCGCTCGTCGTGGAACAAGGGCCTTTCGTACTTCGTTATGATACAGCGGCAATCCCATCAGTTGCCCTAAAGTAATACTGGCTCTCGTAGACAGTAAATCTGAAACAATAGAATAGTGCGGGGCGTTCTGTACTATGGATGGTTGTTGGACTGGAAGCGCTTTCTTCTTTTTCTTCTGTTAAGGTTCCTTCACTATTTCCTTGTACTCCTTTGATCTCAACCTTTTCGCAATGAGCTGATTCGCTTGCTTATTTCTGGTTTCTACGTCTCCTCCTGCCGCTACGTCTGTCTTTCCTGCTTTGTACGAGGGATTTGTTTCATTCACACTCTCACCCTCCAGAGGTGCGCTTAGTGGTTTAAATGCTGTATTCTTTCCCAGACAGTAGCGGCTGGCGGTCTACTTACTTCTTCTTAAGCCACAAACGTATTACTTCCGCCACTTTGGAAAGTTTGGAGCGGGGTTTGTCTTGTCGCAGCGTCAACCTGTGGTCTCTCTGGTTTATTTTGCTCTTGCTCCCAAAAGTCGGTGGCATTTCGTTGATAGTCTATTCTTGTGGAACATCCTTGAGCCATATGCCCTGTTTGTCCACAGGCGTAACAGCGGGGCGAATTACTAACATTACTACTTCGATTTCTCATGTTTCGTTCTCTATCGTCAAGGAAATAATTAGGTCGTCCGTGAAATGTATTTGCTGGCTTGTCGCTCTTTTCCGCAATCTTGCGTAATGTTTCAATTATTGGGGTTAAGGCTCGTTACACCACTCGTTCCATTGCCTCTTCTTTATCACCAGTTTTGTTATGGACGGGTGTAAACGGAATATTCGCAAACGAAGAGACACCATACCCAGCTGCCTCAGGGAATGTCTGTACGTTCTCTTCGAACTGTTTCGCAATCCTGACTGCGGATTCCAACGTAGAGTTCTCTCGTGATAGGATCAATGGACGAGCTTGGTAGGCAATATCCTTTCTTAATCCCTTCAGGAAATGCCAAACCTTTTCATCGTTACTCCATCTGTTTTCACCATCGATTCTCTTTATCAACTTCTTTACGTCGTTAGCGTATTGCTCCACAGTTTCGCCCAACTTTTGTACCTTCATCTGTAATCGAATCTCCATTGATTAATGAGTACAGTGGTCTTGAATGAAGCTAGGAACGAAGGTTCGAACGAAACTTGCTCTCTCTCGTTCCAGTGCAGTATAGGGTTTCGTTCTCCCTGTGTTTCGGAAAACCATTGTCCTGCGGCTCCTTGTAGGTATCCGCTGACTACTCGAAGTTTATATTCGTCGGTGTATTGATTTATCTTCGCTGATCTATTAAATTCCTTCAGCCATTCCATGGGATCTTAACTTCCCCCATAGAATAACGGTGTTACAGAATGAAAATATGACGATAAAATAAT